CTCTCTCTCTCTCTCTCTCTCTCTCTCTCTCTCTCTCTCTCTCTCTCTCTCTCTCTCTCTCTCTCTCTCTCTCTCTCTCTCTCTCTCTCTCTCTCTCTCTCTCTCTCTCTCCTACCCCTTCTCTCTTCTCCTCCCCTCCCCCTCTCCCCCTTCGGTTTTAAGTGTTTTACAGAATTGGCCGGGGATGCGGCATTCCTCCCGTTAGTGCTATTGCTACTGTTGTCTATGTATCTGATTCGATCTGTCAAAATCCTTAGATCGCTCGGAGAGAAGTAAAAAAGTGACAGCTGGTATGTCTTACGAAAAAGAATAGATCTGCTTTTAAAAAAGAAAAATCGGAGATGGAAATTCAAAAGAAAGGAAGAAAAGAAAGAGCGATGTTATGTTTGGAAATAGATAATGTTTATTTTGAAAAAGGAAGGGAAGCCCAGTCTTTTATAAGAAATGATAAAATATTTTTCTTTGAAAGAGAGCAAAGTGACATTTTGAGATTTTTTTCTAGGAGAATAGAAAGAATAAAGATAAGGAGACTTTCAGTGGTCTCGGTGATGAATTCTTTTTGGAATACGAAAAGATGTGATGATTTAACGACGTGTTATCGATCTATTATGGTGCTAAATTGTTCAAATCAGAACTGATCCATGGTCGACTGGTTTCGCCGAGGAAGCGATACTGGTTCCAGTTTTCTCTTTTGAGTTCGATTAAAAAATATTACACTGGAAAGTATTAAAACTGAAGGAATGAAGAAAGGAAGTATTCAAAATACTCTGTTTTTCCAAATTATTGAACACTCTATTTTAAAAAGAAGAAAAGAGAGAGTTGACAAGATAAGCGGTGGTTTTTAGTTTCGATCGATCGTACGAGTTGAATCTCCATCTGTGTTTCTCGTGTGACTAGAAGTCATCAAGTTGAGCATATATACACTACCGTACGATGCACGTACGGTGCGAATCCTTTGCACGATCGGCGAGGCGAATGCGCTGTGTGATCGGGAAATGTCAGCTTCGAAGTCGCGACGGTAGACGTGCGCTCGATCGAAGCGAGCGCAATCGTGTGGAAGTCTCCATCGAGAGAGAGAGAGAGAGAGAGAGAGAGAGAGAGAGAGAGAGAGAGAGAGAGAGAGAG